TTTTTTCGATGCGAGACATTATTTAGTAATGGGCCGCGTTCCGTTCAGAATTGTAACTGCGTTCCGCCAGCCTATCTTCCCTCAGCACTGTACTCAGCTGCTCAGCACTCCACCACCGCCCATTTTAATTATGTCTTTCAAGCGCTGGAAGGAGGCCGAATGGCCGATGTTGACCGGATGAGCGCTCTTGGGAGAGGGGGCGAGGAAGAGAGAGGAAGAGAGAGAGAGAGAGAGAGAGAGAGAGCCGCCATGAAACGATCGCCAATCCTCATCGGCCCTACAAAACTTTTCGAAAGCCCCGCGTTGATTGCTTTCGATTATTTACATTTTGAGGCGTTTCGAACCCCGATTAAAGTGGCCGACCACGGAGACTAGTTGCGCCGAACAGACCCATTCCCCCTCGGCCGAATATCAACTGCGGCTCACTCTCTGCGGAGCCCGCCGCGGGGACCCGGGGGAGCACAGGCAGTGGACCTGAGACAATACCCGCCGTTTTTCCACGAGGATTAAATCCCCCGTCCTCTCCCCCGCGCCTTCTGAATTCCAATTCTTTGATTAATAGCTCCCCATTCCGAGCGGCTGGCTGGCCACCACGCCCAGGCCAAACACAAGGGAAACAAAATATTAAAGGGCTGTGTATTCACGTCGATGACACAAAGAATGCCACGGCTGTTTGTTTGTCTCATGACAATGTTTTCATCGTTTGCCGAAAGTCTAAACTGGACTGTATTGTTGTCTCGTTTTGTTCCAGTGGGGTCGACGACACGCAAGTCTCCGGTGATTGTGTTCATCCACGGGGAGTCGTACGAGTGGAACTCTGGCAACCCGTACGACGCGAGCGTGCTGGCCTCGTACGGTGGCGTAGTTGTCGTCACCGTCAACTACCGCCTTGGCATCTTGGGTGAGTATCTGTAACTGCACTAAAGCTGCCCCAAGCAGCACGATATCGAACTGCATTCACCAGCTCTTTCTGAAGTACACTGTTAAAAATATTTTGCTATTTCACAACATTTTTTCGATACGAAGTAACTGTGAAATCACAACACTTCTTTGCAGTCAAAAATTGTGCATTTTGCTATCTTAATTTGGAATAGTTGGAAACCAATCGTAATAATTGCTGAAGTTAATCATTTTTTTGGTTGCGATTTCACAAAGAGTTCTGGCAACTTCTTTCACATCGAATTCTTCGTAAAGTTCTTTCTTCAGACTGAGCGCACCGCGGGCGTGCAGGAGTGCAATAGGGATCGCCCAAAATAGTACCGGGTGTTTCAGAGTAGATATCACAGTGTTGCGGTTATGCAATCCTGCAACACTGATGCTTTCGAATGCGTTAGTTCTGAAACACTCGGTTCGTTCGTTTTTCTCAGATTCTTCGGGCAGCTGGGCGCCTGCGAGACTCGGGGTAGGCCATCCCGCAGTACACGCATGTACTGCTAGCAAGATGTTGCCTACCGGTCAGGCGCTACGAGAGCTGGGTGGGTGGGCTGAACTTAGCAGTTTCGTAACCGAATGACGGGCGAACTTTCTAGACGATCCCTTAATCAACTATAAATTATTACATCTTTAAAATATCACCCCAAATTTGTCAACTTTCCACACTTTACCAACATAATAAAATGCTTTCGATCCACACCCTCAGTGTGGAAGCGTAAAATGCAGCAATATTCGAAGCACATCGCATCACTGACACTGTTTTTAATTTTATTTTCTCAAAATTATTTTGAAGCGTAATCCAACAAGCATTGCGGATGCACTGCTATATTTGGCCTTGTCCGGTAGTCCAGTATGTTTTTTTCGTGCTTGCGCATACGTAACAAGTGAACAGTTGTAAACATGCGTGCGCGCATACTCTCTCTCTCTCTCTCTCTCTCTCTCTCTCTCTCTCCATACGTTAGTGTGTGCGCTCGACATGCCATTCTTCTCCAAAGTGAGAAATAAATAGCCGCACCTGGGAAAAGTGTGGTGTAACGATCGAGCCGATTCGAGCGAACAATCGTGCTCCTTGACGCTCTTGATGTCCCATGGGGGTGGTATTTAGCTGGTATTTTAAATGGTCTTTGTTAGATTTTTTTTCCCTTTTTGTGTAATGTACACTCATTTGCATATGGTTCATGTTGGATCCGTGCTGCTGCTGTGGGGGCGTCACTGTCTCGCTGCCACCGTCGCCGAGATCGGCGGTGCCGGCCCGCACCGGGGGTGTCGAACAGGGGGATCGTTAAGGGAGCCAAACTGCCTATCTTGTTGTTGTTAGTGTTGTTGAGGCCCCACACCCCTTGCAGCGCGGCAGGGGAGCGTTCGGTGGGTCTCCCCCCACCCGCCTCCCCTCTCTCACCCCCGGTGAAGGTCTCCCTGCCTGCTGCTGAATTTCCCCCGGACATGCTCGAAATTGTTGCCTCCGCTGCGGTACGGCCAAGTTTGGTCGCTCCGCCTACCCCACCTCCCCGCTGTGCACACACATACTTTTAAAGGCTCCTCCGCCCCACTCTGCCTCTCCCTTCTCCAACAAAGTAAAAATGAGCGTTTCGCGTGAAGGACGTGCCGATGAATGCCAATGACGGCTTTCATTCCCGTCACATATAGATTTATTTTTTAAAAAATCCTCTCCTATATTTTTTTTGTTGTTTTTGGTCCTGTGCTCTCTTTTTGGTGGTGCGTGTGCTCACCGGTTTCGTTTTTCTTTGATTAAAAGGACATCACATCAGACAGCTCTTCGACCTTTACCGCTTGATGGACATCTCATATAAACAGGGTTACCGTTCGGCCCCGTATTTTTTTAGTCGCTCTGCTGATTCGCTTGTAGGCAGACGGGCTTACCAACCTTAGTTCACCGTTTTTGATGTGAGTCAAACGGAAACTTAGCACAGCTGGAATTTGCTCTTATCAGAAAAAAAAATAATACTCCTTTCATTATAGTACAGTATACCAATGGTTTTTGTTTTTTATGGATTTTGAGCTGACCACTACCCTCCTTTTCCTGACTCTGTCACGGTGGGGTACAAACTACTGCCATCGGCCCGCTATTTCGTGTCCGCCCCCCCCCCCTCTCTCTCTCTCTCTCTCTCCCTCTCTCCCTCTCTCCCTCCCTCCCTCCCTCCCTCCCTCCTGTAATTATGGCCCACTGGAGTGGTCGTTCCAGCCCTCGCTCCACCAGTCGTTCCAGCGGCGCGGGCTGTAAAGCTGCCTTATCACGGGCGATGCGCCGCCGGACATTTTATATCTTCATCATCTGGCATCATTCGAATCTCCCGCGCCGTCTATAGGGGGCTGCGCGCGGCGGGGACAGGTCTCTCCGCGCGGACCAAACATCGTGCAATACATTATTCGAATAACAAAGAAAATACAGGGTGTCCCACAAAATAGTTGCATACGAGAAAACAGAGTTAGCTAAATTAGCTAAATGCATTCGCTAATATGGCCTTGGTGGATCACAATATTACCTCGCTTAGCTAGCTAAGAGGGCTAACATATTGTCTTTCACAGGTTCACAGCTAGTTGCTTTATTTTTTAGTCAACTGTTACAACATAAATGCCTAATTTATTTAACTCTCTTATATAATAATTAGCTATGCGAGCTAACATTCTAATCTAAGACCATAATAGCGTATGCATTAGCTAATTATCTCATTCTTTTCTTTTTTTCGTGCACCGACGGTGCAGCACCGCAAGAATTTTTAAATTTATATTTGGCGATAGTATAATCGGGACTCAGTGCGCAGTGTCCTGACCTCTACAACCCGACGACGGGCGCCTCTCCATCACCAAGTCGGCGAGGTTCCCCGAATTCCCGGCCAGCCAGCTAGTCATCCGACCGACCAGCCCCGTGTGGATCTACGCTCCCTCTCCCCTTTTTGGCGGGCCCGGCCCGCGGGGCACGGAGAGTAACAGAATTCAATTATTGGTCCATCAGTGCAGGGCGGCCGCGCCCCAAAAAGAGCCGGCTGGGAAAAGGGCGGCATGACGGGCGCGGCGTGGAGAGCGCTTATTGCGAGTGCTCATCACGTGACTGTCATACTCGCTGCATTTTTATTTAAATTTTTTCGTGCTTATCTTTTACGTCACTTTTATTGTATGACCCTCGACCGCAGAGCGCTGCAGCGCGCGCGCGGCTCTCTAACCGGGTGGGGGGGAACTCGAATGGGCGGTTTGCTTTAAACATTCACTCAGCAGTGGCGGCCAGGGACTGCAGGTTCGGGAAAAGTTGGTCCCGCACTTCGATCCGATCGC